AATACTGGATTAAGATGAAAATAGTGTTGGGATTCTGCCACAGGATCGATCACATCAAATCAGGACGAACACGCGTACACGAAAATTTTGGCCAAGGGCACGTGCCGTGCCCCTTCTGTTTATTCTTTTTCTGTTTTCTCTACACGACGTTACAAATCTCGCGTATACTACCTGCATATATATATATATGTATATATGCAGCAACCGGACAGGTGCTACCGACCTCGACATATCTAACTATGCTTGAACTCCTAATCTAATATAATTACTTCTAGGACTCTACCTCCCAGCATACAGTAGGACACAACCAGACTCCTACCCGAACTCAGATTAACTACTAGCACGTAGACAACTACTACGTACAAGACTCTGACTCGTAAGCTAACAAACTCAAGATTACCTGCTAACAATTTCCCTCTAATCTTGACTCTTTGTCTTTTGTGCTCCTTCAGTCTTGGTTCGTTGTAGATCCGCGACTTGACGACCCATCTCAACGTATGACCCAGACTCCGAGTCATGCTGCCATGCAGACCACACCGTCCGCACCTAGCGCAATACATGCCAACGGATCACACACTGTCCCATGTAGAGACAGGTCCTCATTGAAGAGGCTCCCCTTCACTGGTCAACGTCCCATTATACGCTTGGGCTTGATCTCCACTTCACGTCTTCGCCCTTGGTGCTACACCACACCAGACAGCCCATCGACCGTGACACGCTTCATCTTCAACAAATGCTCACAGAGACAAGCACTTGGACATGACGACGACGACGATCGACTAACCAACCGACCGACCGACCGACCGTGCTAACCCGCACGACTCTTGACTCTAACTCCCGACTCCCCGGGACGACGATCTTGATGAGCTCCAGCGCCGCACCTCGGCACCACCTCTGCCATCAACGACGTCCTTCTGCCACCTTGCTGACGACAGCCTGCCGCCTAACTCCATGTCGCTCTGCTGAACGACGATCACCAGAACCTCCTCGTCGCTGCACCACCCAGCGACTTCATCGCCCGCCGCTCCTCGTAGCTGCACCACCCAGCGACCATATCGCCCGCCCCGAGGCGCTAGTCGGGTCGCCACCCCGGGGCAAGAACGGCTTCAAATCGACCTTGCTCTGATACCAATTGTTGGAATTCTGCCACAGGATCGATCACATCAAATCATGACGAACACGCGTACACGAAAACTTTGGCCAAGGGCACGTGTCGTGCCCCTTCTTTTTATTCTTTTTCTGTTTTCTCTACACGACGTTACAAATCTCACGTATACTACCTGCATATATATATGCAGCAACCGGACAGGTGCTACCGACCTCGACATATCTAACTATGCTTGGACTCCTAATCTAATATAATTACTTCTAGGACTCTACCTTCCAGCGTACAGTAGGACACAACCAGACTCCTACCCGAACTTAGATTAACTACTAGCACGTAGACAACTACTACGTACAAGACTCTGACTCGTAAGCTAACAAATAGCAAAGTATATTTATTACTCAATGATAGCATGTGCATAAAAGCATCATTTTCGTCTTGCTTATATATGCTTTTGCAACTGTAATATTTGACAAGGCTTAATTTGGTTGCAAACATATTAGACATGCATACCAAATGTTCAAGCTTGCATATCAACATCGATATTCTTTAAAAAATGACTATAATTTCAAACAATATGAAAATCAAAATTAAGCCACTATTTTACATAAAGCACGTATCAGTAGTTTAGTGTACATCACCGTATAGGGATTGGTTATTGTGCACTGTGGGAAATGATTATATACATGTTTTAACCTAGATATAAGCCGAGTGTCCTTTTTCATGCACTCGGCTTATTGCGGAAACTATAAGCTGAGTGCCGGGAGAGCGTACTCGGCTTACACCAACGGTCGTCTGGCTAGCCGTTAAGTGCGCCGAGAGCGGCCACGTGGCGGCGAACATTGTCGAGAGAAATATGTAAGCCAAGTGCTTTTTAAAGCTATGCCGAGCAGGCTCCGTAAGCTGAGAGCTTTTTCAGCGGACTTTCGGCTGACACATAAGTAAACGGAGGCTGTTTTTTTACCGTGTGTTCTTGAAACATGTCTTGGCTTATGCTGCTTTAACCTGATACCGGTATTTTGCCCTCGGCTTACGCGGAGATTCACCGCAACGAGTGTGTTTCTGTAGTGTCTATCGGCCAGTCGATTTGAATCTCCTTCCTTCTTGTAAGCGAAATCTCGTGAAGACATTCACGTGGAAGTTAAGCCCGTGTTCACCTTTGTTCTCACGTTTTCCGTGCTACTCGGAGTCTCCGGTCCTAGCTGCTAGCTCAGTCTAGGTGGTCCTCTTGTAGGCGTCTCGCGTTTTGAGGGTGCTAATACAAATTGTGACAGAGAACCAGGGGTCCATATCTGGAAGATGGGTATAAATATTTGGGGTGTTAGAAGGGAGAGAGAGGAATTGTTGCGGAATATGATGGATGATATTATCGAGCCTCGAGGGCGAGTATATATTGAGTACAAGACTTGGAGGGCAAGACGCCTCTCCTAGAGATAAGGTAGAAATCCTAAACTACCAAATACATGTAACCCAAATATATCTCTAACATTCCCCCGCAGTCGTAGTGATAGCGTTGCGAACAACATGAGCGTCGCGGACGGTCAGACTGGAGAGAATAGCAGCCGACGGACTGACATCCCCCCGCAGTCCTAGCGGGAGCGTTGTGGACGGTGTCACGTCGCGGACGCATTGACTGTAAAGGAAGCCGACGAGTTGCTCCGGCGGATGATAGCCCTTTGTGCCGATGTCGATGTAGCCGAGAGCGTAGGATGGTGTAGCCGTGGTCGAGGTAGCCGTGCAAAGAATGTCGTGGTCGATGTCGAGTCGAGGTGGCCGGTGTCGAGGAGGTCGCCGTGGAGCCGCGGGCACAAGGGGGCGCCGAGTTAGCATGGGCGCAAGGGTGTCGAAGTAGTGGTGCGCCGGGAAGACGATGTTGTTGACGACGCGTCGCGACGGGTTTGCCAAGCCCGGGGACACATCATGGACGAAGGCACGCACTGGTGTTGCCAGCACCGGGCATGCGCAGACGGACGAAGACGAAGTTGACGAAGCGCTGACCAGGCTTGCCAGGCCCGGGGACACGTCGTGGATGAAGGCACGCATCGGTGTTGCCAGCACCGGGCATGCGTAGACGAAGGACCTGCACGAGCTGTACGCCATGTCGGAGAAGTCGGAGGGGCCAGCAGAGAAGAACTCGACGACAATTGCGGCGTCTATCGGCGCAGGGCCGATGTCACCAACGGTGGTCGGAGTAGACGAAGTGGTCGGGGTAGATGACGGCGACGCTGGCGACGGGCTGGTGCTTGGACGAAGATGAAGGGGGTGGACGGGCGGCGGCGGCGCCTACGAAGGTAGCGGCGGCGGCGACCAAAGAAGAGCGGCCGCGGCGGCGGCTAGGTTATGATTGCGGCGGCGGTGCTCGAAGTAGGCGAAGAACCCTGACAGCGTGACGAAGACCGGCGCGGACAGTGGCGTTCCCGCGCCAAGGGAGACGGCGCGGCGCATACCACGGGAGGTCGACGCGCGGTGACGGCGGCGTGGACCGCGAGCCGCGGCGCTACGGCCCGAAGAGGCGACGCAGCGGCGGCAGGCGGGCCGGGGTGACGGCGGAAAGACCTCGGGGCGGCGGCGGGAACCGCGAGGCGGCGGCGGGGACCGTGTTCCGCAGTGCTACAGCTCGAAGAGGTGGTGTAGCGGTGGCTCGCAGGTCGGTGCAACCGCGGGGACGGCCTCGGGCGACGGCGATGACCGCATGCCGCAGCTTTATAGCCCGAAGAGGCGGTGTAGCGGAGGCTCGCAGGTCGGGGCAGCCGCGCGGAGAACCACTAGGCGAGGGCGATGGCCCGTCGGGAGGCGGTGGACCGCGTGCCGCGACGTGATAACCCTAAGGGGTGACACAGAGGTGGCGGCGGCTACAGGGGTAGCCGGTGGGAGGATCTCGGGGCGGCAGCGTGGACCACGTTCCGCGACGCGACCGCCCGTAGGGGCGTCGGCGGTAGCGGCGCGTGAGTCGGGGCAGCCGACGGGAAGACCTCGGGCGGCAACGCAGCGGTCCGTAGGGACGACGCGATGGCAACCTGTGGCTCGATCGGCGGTAGGCGCGTGCTCGGGGACGTGCTTGGCGAAGACAGGCGCGTGATCGGTTGATCAGACCGACGGCCGCTGTATGAGCCATGGCGGGGACGACGCGTAGATCGGAGTCGATGGCGACGTTGTCGGTGATGTCCCGGGCGATGACGACGAAGACAGACCGGCGATGGAGAACGCGCGGACGAGCGGCCGGCAGCGATGCACGAAGGCGTCCTTTGGGCGGCGCGTGCAGTCTTGCCGCGCGGTTGATGACGAAGCAGCCGGTGAAATCGACGCCGATGTCGGAGTAGAGGCGCGGGGGGCGACGGTGGCGGCGGGCGACGCAAACCGGATCACATAGACTGGAAAACCAAAAAGTAGACACCGATCAAAGTGACCGGCGAGAGAGAGAAAACCCGGATCAAAGGATCGGGAAAAAGACTCTCTAGGGCAGCCGGTCGACACGACCGGCGGACGAACCCTAGGTACGGGCAGCGCGGCCCCCGGCGGCGGTCATGGAGGCCGACCGCCCCCGGGGCGGCGCATGGGTGCGAAAGCGGCGGCGGCTAGGTTTTGGATCGTGATTAGGCTGATACCATGTTAGAAGGGAGAGGGAGGAATTGTTGCGGAATATGATGGATGATATTATCAAGCTTCGAGGGCGAGTATATATTGAGTACAAGACTTGGAGGGCAAGACGCCTCTCCTAGAGATAAGGTAGGAATCCTAAACTACCAAATACATGTAACCCAAATATATCTCTAACCTGGGGCAAAATGCAAATGATTTCTGACTGCGGATCCTACATACCTGTATATATATTAGGGGGTTTGTGTGCAACCTAATCAAGTGCAACCTTTGGCACATCCATACACCACTGAACATCATGACCACACAAAGCTCGCAATTCCATTCCGAGCAGCTGCTATTACCAGTAGTCCTACTCCTTCTTGTATCTGCGGCAGCTAATCACATGCTCATGGCTGCCGCTGCTGAACAGCAACATCCGATGATCACACATCCGGGTTGCCGGGATAAGTGCGGCAACATCAGCATCCCCTTCCCATTCGGCATCGGGCCTGGCTGCTCCCGCGAGGGCTTCGAGGTATCGTGCGACGACTCCTCAACCCCCCCTCGGGCCTTCCTCGCAAACGACTTAGCAAATCAGTATGTATGTGAGGGCTCCGCCTCTGAGCTCATTGGCGACCCACAAATTATGAAAATCCAGGTTTCATCCTCACTGCCGCTTGAGCTCGTGAGCATATCAGTTGCCACGAGCGAGGGTCGTGTATACGGCGGGATCTCGTACCTGTGCAACTCAGATGATACTAGTGGGCTGTTTAAGGTTCACTCCATGAATCTCCAGGCCACCCCATTTAGCGTGTCGGGACCCCGTAATGTTCTCATAGCTGTCGGTGGGAGGGCCGAACCATTTCTGATGATCAATGATCGGGAGCGTTCCGCCAATGGCGTTAACCATTTCTTCTGCCGTTCAGACATCCTGCAGGAGGATTTCGTTGGGCATGTGACAAACGGGTCATGCACCGGGCGGGGCTGCTGTGAGACCCCCTTTCCCCCGGAGGACAGATCCGTCACAGATTCCCAAATGAGCTTCGTTGTCGACAACAACACTATGCCGGTTATCGACGTCCCATGCTCGTATGGCATGGTGGTGGAGAAGTCATGGTACAACTTCTCGGCGCCAGACATGTTTGGTGAAAGGGTGTTTGCTGAAAGACTCCCCGGGGGCGTCCCCTTGGTGCTCGATTTCGCCATCGAGGATGCTTCATGTCCCGCGGAAGGCCAGGAACCGCCTTCCGACTATGCATGTGTCAGCAGCAACAGCTCTTGTGCCAATACAGCCACTGGCTATGTGTGCAAGTGTTGGAACAATTATGAGGGCAACCCTTACATCAGCAACGGATGCCAAGGTACATTTGTTAACACTACTCTACCCAACTCGCCGATCTTTCATGATAGCTTTGAGACTTATTTTTATTTTGCAGACATCGACGAATGCAAGCTCCCCGAGCGGTATCCCTGCTCGAGTGATGGGATCTGCAAGAACAGGCCAGGAGGCTACGAGTGTCCATGCAAATTTGGAATGAAAGGCGACCGCAAAGAAGGAACCTGCACAAGCTTATTCCCCCTAGCAGCAAAGGGGACTCTGGGTAAGTACTAAGTAAGCTACTGCACTGGATTAGTAACTCATAACAAACTCTCTTTCTTGTTAGCCTCGACCGTTACCCTGAATTGCTAGGAACATGTGTACACATCCGACGAGATCAGATAGAATCACATCAATACCCTTTGGGTATTGGTGGTCTAGGAATACCAAATAACAAAGCAATGTCTCAAATAGAATTATGTCGTCAGACAGGAACTTGTTTCGATGATATCATCCCTATTGCCAATCTAAATCATTAGCATAGAAACATATGTCGTTCAATCTGCTTGTAAATTTCTTGACGTATACTGGCAGGGGCATACATCACTGTACGTTTGGGAGGAACAGTAGCTTGTACCGCAATTTATATATGGCCTGACTATTTCGTTCCCATAGAAACCTCTGTAAATTTACATGCTTCTTGTTTTTCTTGTCATTTGCGTACTATTCTGGGAGTTTGCTTCAATCACTCTACAATCTTAACATCGAGTTTTTGTGCTAATTTTACTGCTATTTTGTAGATAGTTCGATTGTGTGTGTGTGTGTGTGTGTGTGCGCGCGTGTGTGCGTGCGTGTGTGTGTGTGTGTGTGTGTTCCAAGAGAGTATCCAAAGTGTCATTTCCATTTCTATACTATCTTCTGCTAGTACTTATTTACTAAAATTTCAGTGATATAAAATAAGTTTGTTTCTTGTCCATGTAGGTGCAATAGGTGTTATTCTTATCATGGCAGTCCTATTATTCCTTATTATTCTTCGCAAAGAGAAAAGGAAGAATGGAGAGTTTTACAAAAAGAACGGTGGGCCTACATTAGAGAAGGCAAATATCATAAAGCTTTTCAAAAAGGAGGAGCTCAAACCTATTTTAAAGAGTAAAAATCTAATAGGAAAAGGTGGCTTCGGTGAAGTTTATAAGGGCCTTCTCGACAATAAACTGGTTGCAATAAAGAAGCCAATTAATGGTAGTGTGCTAGAGAATGAACAGTTTGCAAATGAAGTCATCATCCAATCCCAAGTCATCCACAAGAACATTGTTAGGCTGGTCGGTTGTTGCCTAGAAGTTGATACCCCCATGCTGGTCAATGAGTTTATCTCCAATGGTAGCCTTCATGACATTCTTCACAACAATAAGGAAAAGGTTGCTCTCAGCTTGGATACACGGCTAAGTATTGCTGCACAGTCAGCAGATGGCCTAGCTTATATGCATTCCAAGACCAATATTAAAATTCTACATGGTGATGTTAAACCAGCAAATATACTCTTGGATGATAACTTTGTACCAAAGGTTTCAGATTTTGGCATATCTAGGTTGCTTGCGAGAGACAAGGAACACACAGGATCAGTCATTAGCGACATGAATTATATGGACCCAATATATCTTCAAGAAGGCCTACTCACACAAAAAAATGATGTCTACAGTTTTGGTGTTATGATCTTAGAGCTCATAAGCAGGAGGAGAGCCATGCATTCTGACAATAGTAGCTTGGTAAAGAATTTTCTTGAGGCTCTTAAGAAGCAAAAGAAATCAAGCGAGTTTTTTGACAAGGAAATTGCAATAACAGAAGATTTGGAGCTTCTTGATTGCCTCGCAGGCATGGCCATGGAATGTCTTAGCCTTGATGTGGATCAAAGACCAACTATGATGGAGGTGGCCGAGCGGCTCCTCATACTGATTCGATATCGTGAGGTGTAAAATGTTTGTCACTAAGTTGTTTTTGTTAAAATCCTTAAAACATCAGTTGTTTGTGTCTCTCTTTCGTTCCAAGAAACTATGTAATTTATTATAAGTTGTAACTCATGAGTAACCATGTAAATACGTTGACCAATCGTCTGTGTTAAACAGTTGATTACTCAAATTACTGATTCTTTTGGCAATACATCTACTTACTTTGAAGAATAACCAATATTTCGGCCACACATTTCATGCATATGTTCTCAACATTTTCGTCTAGTGTAGTTTTGACGTGCCATGTTGTTTCGGTCAGTCAGACTTGGAGAACAATGATGGTCATCTTGGCATAATGCATAGTCAGCATCAGGCGGTTTTTATTTTTGCAAGAAGAATCAGATATATTATAGAAGTTCATTGGAAGTATCTCAAACATATAATTAAAATTACATCGAGATTCTGAGACCACGGAATGACCACTACTGCCGCTAGAACGAATTGCCGATGTGTTGCCGTCGCCGCTCCCCTACCAGAGCCAGCCTAACCTTTTTTATGACAACCAACAAGTCTTTGTGCGCATGCCCCTAAGGACCAGCGCCCTGGAGCCACGGTCGTCGTCATGGAACCCTTGCATATATCTGAAGCACCTAATACCAAATCTCGCCACATGACGAGAAACCATTATCTCAGCGGCCCAAGAAGACGGCAGGATCAAACGAACGAACTTGAGGGGAATTGAAGCCCTGAAGACAAACTCGATGAAGAACCTGCACCTACGAAGACCAAAAAAAACCCTAACCTAAACTAGTAACCGGAGCAGAGGCACCGAGATTTCCTTCCTCGTCACCAGCCACCGGAACTGCGAGCGGAGGGGAGGTGAATCCACTAGCATCAGCCCATTTTTAAGCTTAACTTTTTCTTCTCTTTGTAGGAAGATTTATTTATCAACAATTAATAATACTATAGGACTTGCTGTGTACATCACTCATGCATAGGCTGGGGGTCTTTCCCTCCTTTAAAAATAAACACCACCCTATTTTTCCGGGCTAACATCTGCCAATGCTATGTTTATAAAAATTCATAACTTATATTGCACTAGAGGACAACTCCTGACATCCAAAGGTTGGTAATGGTGAGCGTTTGAAATCTGTAGTGCATGTTCGTGCGAAGCACAAGCAGAGGTTGCGGGGTGTAGTAATCTAAAAGGAATATCGTTAAGCACACTCTCATGATGTCATGACAACTCTAATCAGATGAGCCTGTATATATGCAACTCCAAGAGTATCCAAAGGTGATTGGCTGAGCAGATTCGTGTGGACATAAAGGTAGGGAAAAGATAAGACCCTTTTCCTAATATTTTTCAATAAAACGAAACTACAATATGCCTCCGGTCACCCTTTTCTGAGTCTATGGTAAGCTGCCAAACAGGGATATTTTGCTTCGGTCCCTGTCTTCCTCGCACCTGTTTTGTTTGGGCATGGAGACCTTGCAAGGTAGTCCACCAACGCCCCTTTCATCGTACCTTGCGTCGAGAGTGATGGAAATAAAGATCTTTTCAAGCAATGAAAGTGTGATGTCCCGGTTCAATCATACACGCAAACATGTACGATCAAGATCAGAGACTCACGAGAAGATATCACAACACAACTCTAAAAACATATAATTCATGCAAACATCATATTACAAGTCAAGGGCCTCGAGGGCTTGAATACAAGTGCTCGATCATAAACGGGTCAGCGAAAGCAACAATATCTGAGTACAGACATAAGTTAAACAAGGTGCTACAAGATGGCTAGCACAAACTGGGATATAGATCGGAAGAGGCGCAAGCCTCCTGCCTGGGATCCTCCTAAACTACTCTTAGTCGTCGGTGTCCTGCACGTAGTAGTAGGCACCCTCGGCGTATAAGGGGCCGTCGTCGACAGTGGCATCGGGCTCCTGGGCTCCAACATCTGGTTGCGACGTCCGAGAAGAATGGAAAGGGGGAAAAGAGAGAGCAAAGCAACCATGAGTACTCATCCAAAGTACTCGCAAGCAAGGATCTCCACTACATATACATTGATATCTGTATAAAGGGGTAATATCGGTGGACTGAACTGCAGAATGCCAGAATAAGAGGGGGATAGCTAGTCCTATCGAAGACTACGCTTCTGGCAGCCTCCATCTTGAAGCATGTAGAAAAGATTAGCTGGTAAGTTCATCAAGTATCATCGCACAGCATAATCCTACCCGGCGATCCTCTCCTCGCCGCCCTGTGAGAGAGCGATCACCGGGTTGTATCTGACACTTGAAAGGGTGTGTTTTATTAATTATCTGGTTCTAATTGTTATAAGGTCGAAGTGCAACTCTGGATCGTCTTGTTACCGTGGACACGGCTATTCGAATAGATCAATCTTCCCTGCAGGGGTGCATCATATTACCCGACAAGCTCGATCCCTCTGGCCGGGCACACTTTCCTGGGTCATTTCCGGCCTCGAGAGATCAACACGTCGCAGCCCTACCTAGGCCTAACAGATAGGTCAGCATACCGGTCTAAATTCTATGCGCGCAGGGGTCTAGGCTCATCGTCCATTGCACACCTGCACGTTGCGTACGTGGCCAGTGCGCAGACTTAGCAACCTCCATTACAAAGGAAGTTGCGCTACGCGGTCCAACCCGGCGCGCGCCGCTTAGTTGCTTACGTCTAGGAGGCTTCGGCTGATACCATGACGCCGGTTGCCCATATCTTGTCCCACGTGGCGATTAGTGCGTATAAGGTCAACGACCCAACTCAGATCAAATACGTAGATCTCGTTAAGCGTGTTATTTTATGTATCCGCGGATGCTGACCAGGGACCAGGCCCACCTGTCTCCTAGGTGGTCTCAACCTGCCCTATCGCTCCGCCTCAAAGATCCACTCAGAGGGCCGTCGGGACAAATGTTCTTTCAGCCCCCAATCCGTGAGTCACTCGTGGGTACTCTACGAGCCGACCCGACTTTAGTCACCAACTGTATCATGTATAATATGTATTTACGTATAAACCCGTGATCACGGCCCAGTAGTATAGCCTGGCAGACGGACAAGAATGTAGGGCCACTGATGATAAACTAGCATCCTATACTAAGCATTTAGGATAGCACGTAAAGGTATCAACAATTGTAGCAACAATGATAGGCTATGCAACAGAATAGGAGCTATCGAATCAACAACAGTAGCAAATCTAATGCAAGAATAAGAGAGAAGAGAGTGGGCGATATCTGGTTGATCAAAGTTGGTTTGCTTGTCTGGTTGCTCGGGCAAGAAGGAGGTTCGTCGTCGACGTAGTCGATCACAAGGGTAACGGCAGCGGTCTCGAGGTCTACCGGAAAGAAGTAACGAAGGGGGAACTCAACAAATACCAGAGCAATCAAAGCATCACAAAGCATAACATGGCAATACGCGCTGATAGGGGTGACTTAACCCGATACTAGGCGATATCGGCAAAGGAGGAAACATCCGGGAATGTTTTCTTGAAGTTTGGTATTTTTGGACAGATGAAAGGGAGGGGGGAGGTTGCATGCACTACTAGAGAAAACCTTACCAATAGCGCTTGTTTTTGTGCTACCAGTAGCGCGGGTACCAGCGCTACTGCTACGACGCTACAGCTATTTTCTGGCAGTAGCCTGTTTATAGACCAGCGCTACTGGTAAGCTCAACTACTAGTAGGGCGTTCTTAGGCCAGCGCTACTGCTAACATTTATGTTTTAGTTTTAATATTTTGGCGTTGACATGTTTAAACAGATATATCTTTTATACAATAACAACTCATCATGAACTAGTATGTTTAAATAGCATATTCATTACAAGTAGTAATCACCACCAAACAATGTTCGTCAATGAGACATCATATATATAACAAGTTGGTCACTAGTTATAATCACAACTCCTCATCCTCCTCATCAACTCTAACACATTATAGCACATAATAACACATTCTACCTAGGACCTACTCCTCTCATAGGACCTACTCTATCCTCTCTTAGGTAAAATATCATAAAACAAGATAGGCATTGACTCTTCATTAAGGAAACTGAACTCTCCATAATGAAGAGCGGAGATCATCATGTCTCCAAGTCTTGGCCTACGCACAATGTTGCTTCCAAGTAGCTCTCTACGATGGTTGAAACATTTTTTCCAATTATTTATTATCATGGCTTCCTCACTTTTGGAAATCCGGTATGGACAGGAGTGATGTGGATACTGTGGCTGACCTGGCCGTGGTGGCCATAAGCTCATAACTTCAACGCGACCTCTTGGCAACATCAGATGAGGCACACAATCCATCGGGATTTTCTGTTCAAAAACATAGTAATAACTTTGTAGTTAGCAATGTAGTTAGCAATGTTCAAAGATGCACAGATGTCGTAATAGTAGAAAATCTTGCCATGATATCTCCATTAATGTTACCGTAGCACACCGCGTGCACTAGTGGCACATATGGACCATAATTTTGAGGAATTCAATAATAGCTATTGTAATTCTCAAGATCAGTAAAAAACGTGATAAGACCATCTTTCTCCTTATAAGTTAATTGTGCTTCATCATTGTAGTAGTAGGTTCTGTCTACCATCTTCTATACATTTTTTGAAGAATGAAAATAAGCTGTCAATGGAAATAAGCTGTCAAATATTTTAAAATTAATAATATAAATTACTTAGTAAATATGTTTAAGAAACTCACACAGCGGTAGAACTGGAAGCGTGTCAACAAGGACCCAAATGGTCATATCATTTTTGTTGATGTCAGGATCACCAAGATCGAAGGTGAGAAGCATACCCTCATGAAAATCATATGCCTTGGAAAGGGCTTCCCAATTCGGGCAACCAAAATTGGATGAGTTCACAGAATTGTATAGTTTTACAGCAAAATCATAACCATGATGGGTCCTTAGTTGAATTATCTTTGTCTCCATGCTTTCATGATCTTCAAAACCCATCTTCTCCAAGACATAGCGTCTTGCATGGCATGGGATAAGCTAGTCGAATTGTAAAAGACGGAAATTACACGTTGAAGAAGCAGAGAAGTCGTGCAAAAATAACATAAAAAACTTGTCATCGTTGCGTACCGTATCAACATCGAAGGTCTCTTGGAGCTTGATGCTGAAGCGCCGACCTTCTACCGAATTCCCTTCCGTTGCTAGACATTTCCTAATAGGTAATTAATAATCCATCATGAATACATATGTAGTAGTTTGTAGCACAAACCGCGCTCATCTTTTGCATTCAATAAGAAAATAACTAATAGGTAATTAATAATCCATCATCGAATACATATA